AAAATTAAAAGCCCAGAATATAAGTAACTGATGTGTTATCAAATGAAATGCTAGAAGGGGCGCCTGGGTGGCTCAGTCATTGGGCCTCTGCCTTCAGCTCAGGTCATGGTCCCGGGGTCCTGGGATGGAGCCCTGCATTGGGCTCCCTGCTCAGCGTGGAGTCTGCTTCTCCCTCTCCCACTTCCCCTGCTTGTGTTCCCTCTCTCGCTGTGTCTCTCTCTGTCAAATAAATAAATAAAATCTAAAAAGAAAAAAATGAAATGCTAGAAAAATTTTCAGAAGGCACTTTAAAAATCAGCAAAATGAGAGAACATAGTAGGAACATAAAATAAGTGATACTTTCTTTTTGGAATCGAGATTTCAAAGACAGTTAACTGATTCTCACTTCACTGTGAAACTAGTTCAAAGAAAAGGTGATGAGTGGACTGGTTTCAGGAGCGGCGTTGAGTCGGTGGAAAATACAGAGTTCCTGGCAGTTTCATTTTTAAAGGCAGTCTGCAATGCTTTGGAGTATTTCTGTTGTTTACTTTTTAAAGCAAGGTTCTGTTTTTGAGACTCTCTGGTTTTCAACTTGAATATACTAATAGGCTTCTAAAAATGGAATGATCAGGAAAAGTCTTTAATTTCATTAAGTGATACGATACTCATGAAACATTTAAATAGTTTATAAAATAGAAAGCTTTTGTCTTTTAGTTTCTGGGAAACAATTTTACAAGAGCTTAAAGTTGGTTTCTTATTCTTTGCTTCTTTTCCCTTGGGAATTATTATGTGACCTTCACAGGGTCACATACCAATGGTATCTGTCCAGTTTATAAGGAATAGCTTCCTTCAGGTATTGGAGCGCTATATTGTGCCAGTCATTAATTTGAAATTGAGAGAATTAAGAAAGGGAACGCTAATTACAAAGACTTAAAGTGAAGTGTTTTTTAGACAGTTAACTTTTCAAATTCAGTGAAAACTATCTTGGCAATTATATTTAGGCACATAATTTCAGAGTTTCAAGAAAAGCTTATTTGCATAATCATGACGCTGTAACTGGAAACAGACATGTTGAGTAGCAGAACAAGTTATGCCTTCTTCTCCCTGGCACCATTTTCTACGGGACATTAAACTTGAAGGTATCGACTGAAAAAGCCTGGAGGAGCTAGAAAGAAGACTCATCTCCTAAACCTGACTTTTAACCTCACTATCTCAGTCAAGTCTATTTTATTTTTCCATTTCCTCTAACTTTGCAAGATGCACTAAAGTTTGCCACTGGTAGCTGAATTTATAGTTTGAACCTAATACTATTAATAATATTTGGTATCAGTTTAGGAATTTCCAGAAACCTTATAGAAATTAGTGGGTTAATATTTGCTGGTTGTAACAAGGTATGATTACCATTTGTTTTTATCGAAAGAGTTGACAGTTCGGACCAAAAACCTCTAGAAACACAGTGTGAAGAACCGGAGGTGAAATAGGCGACTGGCCACACATTCAGAAGTCAAATGTCACTTTCATTCTTCGACTTGAAATGTCATTTCTTGGGGCATGGGGAAAGCCCATCGAGTCTTCTTGCAGAGAGTCATCTTGGAAAAACTAGGCCCTGGCATGTCTTAAATCCCATGAGTTGGAGAAAAACATCAAGTTCACTTCCCCTCAACTTGGTGGCATAGTGTGTAACTTGCTCAGCCACAGGACAGCTGGTTTTTCCTGATTTCATGCACATCTTCATAGACCTTCAGGGGAATTCCACAATCAGGTACAAAAATTGGTTGCAGTTTTAAGATTCTACTCACCACAGACTTGCTACTTTTATCCCACTCCAACTTTTTCCACTTGACTGGTTTCTTGGGTCCTTAGTGAGAAGTCTGAATGCTAAACAAATGGAGAATTTTAAACTAGAAACTAATGGAAGCTATTTTAAAGGAGGAAAAAAGTCCCGAGAGGGTCATTATGAATAGTACTTCAGCAGTAGACAACCAGTTAGTTGTAGTTCAGGCGAGCCGCTTTGCCACATCAGAAGTGTGTCGAGGATTGTGTTCCTTCGTACAATAAGTAAAAATCCTCCAGAAAACAAGAGGAAAGGAAGAGGAATAATATTGGTGCCCTTAAGTGCTAAGCATTTTACCCATATTCTTTAATCTTCAAAGTGCTACTACAAATCTTTGAAGTAACTAGCATTATTTCCATCTTTTTAGAGCTCTCCAGCTTTCTGTGCTATCACCAAAGCCAGTGTGCCCCTCCAGCTTCCTCATTCAGCCTTAGAACAACCCACGAAGTCCCTGTTTGACCAATGAGGAGACAGAAGCTCAGTTTAAGTTAACTTGCAAAGGTCACACACACATCTAGTAAGTAGTGGGATGCTAAAATCCCGATTTAACAAATACCAAACCTATCTCCTGTAAAAAAGATAAGGTAGGTAGAGAGATCTATACATCAGAGGTCCTGAGTGAGATGTTTATTATTTGCTAGCAGCATTAGAATTGTCAAAAAGCCCTGGTAGAATTCTTGGCCTCTAACTACACAGCGACCTGTATAGGGTCTCTAATAATGTCCACATGATCAGGCTTTTTGGTGAAAATTTATATAGGCACCCACCGAGATCAGAACTTTGTAAATCAGTGTTCTTCAAATGTTCCTGAGAGGTGAATCAGGTGTGCTTAACCTCGATTGACCCTCTATGTAATTCAAACACTTACGTAGAGAGGGTTCAGAATACCCCCTGTGATAATTGATTCCTAAGTAGGTCACAGTAATTTGTTAATAGTGAGAATTCTTTGTCTTAGAATTATTCCCTCACCATAAGAGAAACGGAAGTAGATTTAGTTCTGCCTAGAAAACACTGTGTTGTATTTTATCTTTTCCCCCCCCCCCTGCTGGCTTCTCTTGATCCAGACTGTTTTGTTTCCATTGTCTTGAGATCAGTGGTGCCTTTTTCCTTTTTTTCTTTTTTTTTTTTTTTGAAGATTCTGACATTTTCAAACCTTTTCCAGGTACCACCCAAACTTAATGAAGTTAAAGATATTTGCAGTGTGGTCTAGTTAACCTGGTTCCATATAGTTCTGCTATTGTGGCTTCTAATGGGTTCCTATAACTATTTCCTGCTTACTCACCTTAAAAGGTTTCACTGTCATGTGGTCTTTTTTTCTTCTGCTGTCCCTTTCTCTTCTTTCCCTTCTTTAGAGCAGCAGGTTGTTTTTCCTCCTGATTAGCACATTTTCACAAGTGGTCACTCTGTTTTTGAGAAGTCTCCAAGAATTCAGTCAAGATTAGATCATTGTATTTGACTGGAAAAATATTTAAGTGTTGGCAGGAAGGAAAATTGAGTTGATTACTGAGCAAGGTCTTGTAAGCTAACCTGCATTTCACTTACCATTTCCAAATAGCAGACTAAATTGTGAGGCATTGTTTGAAATTCTGAGCCCTCCAACTCACTCTGGCTATTAATCTGCTTTGGGAGTAAGTGGCTGGCTGTCCTGATCGTTACATATCCAGGAGGCTCTGGAGTAGAGTTCTCAGACCGGGTAACAGTGAGAGCAAAATATTTAAACACACACACTAAAAACAAATGAGTAGGGGGAACTTGTAACTGAAAAAAGACAGACCAAAACAGTCTTGACAGTTTAAATTTATTGTTAACTGTGTCCAACAAAGGAAGTAGACTTGTAGGTTTATCTGCAAGGGTTTTCAGCTGCACCCTTTCATGGAGGAGAATGATAAATTTGTGGAGGCTGGTGGTGGTGGGGTGGTAGGTATTGGAGAGATGCATCATTGTGCAATATTTCTAAAATGGGGCCCATTTTAGTTCAGAGTTACTCAGAAAAGCCAGTAGTATTAAATAAGAGAGAAAGAAAAGTTGGGGAGAAAGGACGCAATGATTGAGATGAAAGTTGGAACTCCAAAAGTTCAACATATCTTGTTGGAAATATTTGTGTAGACCTTTGGAACACAGAGAAAGAAAAGGGGAGTATCTACTTAAAAATCAGTTCTTGGGGTGCCTGGTCGGGGCAGAGCTTGGGACTCTTGATCTCAGGGTTGTAAGTTCGAGCCCCACCTTGGGTGTAGAGATTACTTAAAAATAAAATCTTAAAAAAAAAAAAAAAGTCTGCTCTCAGTTTCCCAACCATGGGCCGAGTAACAGGTGCTCATCTCCTGATCCTCACCAGCACAGGGTAAGATGGATAGTTCTCACCTCCATATGGCAGGCCAGGGGCTCTGAGCTTCTAGAGAGGTGGAGTCACTGTCTGAGGCCACCCAGCTAGTACATGCGGGAGGCTGGATTGGAATCCAACACATTATCTGTGGACCCAGCGTTTTTGCCACTAAGCGGCAACGTGATTTCACGTCTGAGCGTTTCTTGGCCGAACAAGTTGAGAACCACTGGTTTCAGAGATTGAAAATCACTGGTTGTATGCCCCTGGATTCCTTCCCCAGCCGCTCAGAGCTGCTTGGTCGCTCTTGGTCCCCATCTGTATCCTCACCGAACCAGGCCCCACTCCCATCGCGCAAGTCTGCAGGGCACCTCGGGCCTCCGCGGCTGCTAGGCGGTGGGGAAAGAGCATCCCGAGCGAACTGTGGTCGGCTCAAATGGCTGCCAAGGAGAAGTATTGTCCTTAAGTCCAAATTGGTGCTTGGCGAGGTGGAGCACCGGTAATAACAGGGGCCGGCTTCGTTCAAAGGCGAGAGGTTGTTCTAAGAGCAGAGAGTGTGGTCGCTAATAATAAAGAAGTCGGCGGGGAGAGTCCTCCCGGTTCCCGGTCCCGGCCGCCCTCCCGCCTCCCTCTGCGTCCTTCAGGAGCCCCGGGCGGTGCGGGTCGGCCCGAGGGCGCCCAGGAGGAGGGGGGGCCGGGGCCGGGGGCGGGGCCGGGGCCGGGGGCGGGGCGCGCGCGTGCGCGAGCTGTCAGGCCAGCCCCGCCCCCGGCGCGGCCCCGCCCCCTCCCGCCGCCCCTCCCTCGCTTCCCCCTCCTCTCGCTCTCCGGGTGTGGGGCGGGCTGGCGGGCGCTGCGGCGACCGCGGCGGCTGCTTCCTCGGGCCATTTTGCTGAGGAGCGACGGGGAGGAGGAATTGCTGAGGAGACCCAAGGCGAGGAGCGGCGAGCCGGAGGAGGCGGCGGCCGCGCGCGCACCGGGCTTTCCTCGATTGCGGGGATCTCAAGGGGCGAAGGGAATCGCCGGGGAGGGGGACCGGAGAGCCGCGCCTGCCGCGCGGCGCGCCCCTTCCCGCCCCCTGCACCATGAGCTGGGGCACCGAGCTCTGGGTGAGTGAGGGGCCGGGCCCGCCGGGCTGGGGGAGTGGGGGGGAAGGTGCCTGGCGCGCCTGGGCAGGGGGCGCGGGCCGGGCTGCCTCGGTGGAGGCGATGGCGCGCTGGTAGGGGTCCCCGCGGCCTGCGGAGGAGACGCGGGGCTGGGTGCCCCTCGTCGGCCTCGGCCCGAGCAAGAGGTGCAAGCCAGATTCGCCCTTTCGAGGCGAGGGGAACTGGTGTGGGAAGGAGGAGGGGGACGGATCCGGGTCTCCCCGGCGGCCTGAGGAGGGGGCGCAGATCTGGGGCCCCTCGGCGGCCTGAGCTGGGGGCGCGGATCTGAGTCCCCCCCGGCGGCCTGAGCAGGGGGTGCCGATCTGAGTCCCCCCTCCCCGGCGGCCTGAGCAGGGGGTGCCGATCTAGGTACTCCGGCGGCCCGGGTATGGGGCACGGACCCGTGTCCCCCCACGCCGGTGCTTGGGTAGGGGTCCGGGCTCCCCCCCACGGCGGTCTGGGCAGGAGGTGCGGATCTGAGTCCCCCTGCGGACGGAGCAGGGGGCGCGGATCCGGGTCCCCCGGGCGGCCTGGGCAGGGGGCGCGGGCCGGCCTCCCTCTCCCCGGCGCCCCGAGGCCAGTGTGGTGTGTGGAAAGAGCAACCTTAATCCCTCGGGGCGAGTAACCGACGCGCGGCTGACCAGCTTCGAGGGGGGCGTGGAGGCCCTCAGATTTTCCGGGCTGCGTTATCTGTTCGGGCTCCCCAGCCGCGAGTGCCTAGGGCTGTTCTCCCCGTGGAGGTGCGGGCCGATCTGGCGCTCCTCTCGGGGGCGGGGCGGCCTCGGCCGGGCCGGGTCTCAGGTCTTGGGTTTGGGGGTACAGGGGCGAGAAGTGGTGTCTTCCCTCTAGAGGCGAGGACTTTTGACCTGTGGCGGCGCGGGGCGCACTTGCAGTTCTAAAGAAGCAGCTCAGATCCTGGATTTGCGGTGGGGACTGCGGCGTTTGGCCTGGAGGGGAAAGTAATCGGAGTTAGAGGGAGATCTTGTGTGACCACGTTCAGAAGGAGGCATTCGCGGGAGAAAGAATTCTTTAACTGCTCAGAGGAAACAGTCTTAAATGGGGAAGGTTGGCGGCGAGGGGAGCCCTCTGAGATCCTTAACCTAGGGCTGCGGATGGGTAAACAGGCAGCGCGGTGTCTGAAACCTCTTGCTGGAAGCTGTCTCCCCGGAGCCGGGCGACCAGGGGATGCCGAGGCAGTGCACAAGCCATCCCTGGGGAGGAGAGGCTGTGGCTGGTGGCGTAGGGCTTGTTTCTCTGCCTTTCTCTGGATTCCCCGGGAAATCACTGGGCAAGGGATAGGCAGTGCAGTGCCGGGGTGGTGGGGGAGGAGTGGATGAAATCTCAATCATTGCACTGAAATGTTCTCAAGATGAGCCATTTCCCATGATGAACTCGGAAAGTGCCTCCTTTCGGAATTCCATTTGTAAAGGGTGTGGAGGAGAAAGTGTGTGTGGGGGGGTGGTTGCTGTCTGAGTTGAGGCCGAGAAATCTCACGTCAAAATAAAACAAGGTTAGAGCAGCGATAGAAACAGCGCATCCTCCCTTAATCTTTTTTTTTTTTTGGCTTTAATTGTTTTTACATAACCGTTTCTTAGGCTCAGAAACAGCTACTGTCTTTGACACCAAAATCCTGAAGGCAATAGCTCCCTTAAATTACAGTGATTGATTTTATAAACACTCTCTGTCTAAAGGGACTCAAGATTTCAGGTGATGTTTACAAATACAAATTTTAAAATAACTGATGGTTTTAAATATTTGTACCTACCTCCTTAAGCAAAATTTATCATTTTAAATGCAGTGTGTTTTTCCTCTTCCATTCCTTCTCCACTCCCTTGGGCTCCTTTTAGCTTATCTGGGGTGGGCGAACAAATCCGAAGTAAATTTTATCAAGATAAGAGAAATCCTGGCACAATTTCTTTTTGCTTGTTCAAGCAAGAGAAAGGGATTGTGGAGGAAAAAAGGCAATATTTTTTTTTTAAGATTTTATTTATTTATTTGAGAGAGAGAGAGCACATGAGAGGGGGGAGGGTCAGGAGGGTCAGAGGGAGAAGCAGTCCCTGCCGAGCAGGGAGCCTGATGTGGGACTCGATCCAGGGACTCCAGGATCATGACCTGAGCCGAAGGCAGTCGCTTAACCAACTGAGCCACCCAGGCTCCCAAAAGGCAATATTTTTTAAGTGCAATAGGCAGGGTCGAAGGGACTGAACACAAGGTGGACATTTCAGTGATGTTAGTGAATGACATAAAAGGTGATCAGGAAAGAGAAGGTAGCTTTGAGAAGAAAATGGTAGAGTAGGTCCAATCACCTGCATTATTCTGTACACTTCTTTTAGGGGGTGGAGGGGTGGGAGGGAAAGCAAAGACAATGTTGTTGAAAATAAATAGGAACTGGAATATCTATAATATATGATAGGAAGTCTTGATTTGGTTCAAAATAAATTGGGGTGGGGATGTTGGCAAAACAGGAGTGGTCACGAGTTGGTAATTGTTGAAGCTAGGTGATCAGCATAACAGGGCTCATGATGCTATTCTTTCTACTGTGTATGCTTGGAATTTTTTACAATAAAAGTAAGTGGAAAAGATTTTTAAGGCGGGGTGTGTGTACTACTTGAAAATTTTTTCACTTGGTAAGTTTCCAAGAAAGAACACGTCAGTTAGAGTCTTATATATGCAAATATATGTCAGTGAGGAGTCACGGAAAAAAAGCATTTCACTGGAGTATGGGCTTTTGGGCTTAAGTGGCTTATGGTTTAATAGGGGGAAAGGAATAAACACATTATTTGCACTAATAAAAGAGGTACAGTATTTGAGTTTTAAGGTGAAATGCCAGGAAGCATAAGGGCAACAAAATGTCTCTTTTCTGCCGCTTTATTTTATTAGTATTTGAGATTTTTTTTTTTTTAATTGGAATAATGAAGGATTCTGAAAAAGAAGCTTCCAGTCCTTCAGTGGTAAGAGACTGGGTGAAGTACTGTGTTGGGCAGCGCTGGACAGCCCAATGCAGAGCAGTCATTGAGGGTTTTCCTTGAATGGTGGCTTGGACTCTTGCACGCGGGTAAGGAGATAACGATGGGGTGCAAAATCCTAAGTGGGTAGAATTATGTTTCTAGGTGGAGGGAGGCAGCGCTATGGTTTGGATGGGCATGAGTTGTTTGTAACAGGTGGTTGCAGCTTTCATAGACCTTCACAAATACCACCAGGTTTTACACATATTTTACGACTTTAGTCAAGATCTGCACAGGCTTTTAAAACCTACGGGTTTCTAATGGGCGCTTTACACATAAGGCCTGCTCTTAAGGCACGTCCTCCTTAGGTGAAGTAAAACCTTTCTCTCCTTTTTTTTTTAAACATCTCTATAGGGGTAAACTTTCATATTCCAGGAAACTTGGAGAAATCATGAAATGTCAGGAAGTTAATACCACTATAAAAATGAACTCAAAACCATAATTCGTAATAACTTTATTGGATTAGTTTGTATTTTAATGGAGGCTTTCTATTTTTGTATCAGAAAGTCATAACAAAGTATAAATGGCTGTTTTAAAGTGATTAGGATATAATTAAATAGTTTCTGTACAACTCTTAATACTAGTCCCTTTTGTTTTTACTTTTTTGTGTGTTTTTTTTTAATTTTTTAATTTTTTTTAAAAGATTTTATTTATTTATTTGACAGAGAGAGACAAAGCAAGAGAAGGAACACAAGCAGGGGGAGTGGGAGAGGGAGAAGCAGGCTTCCCGCTGAGCAGGGAGCCGGACGCGGGGCTCGATCCCAGGACCCCGAGATCATGACCCAAGCCGAAGGCAGACGCTCAACGACTGAGCCACCCAGGCGCCCCTTTAATTTTTAATTTTAAGTTAACTCCACATTACACATGGGGCTCGAATTCACAACCCGAGATCAATAGTTGCATGCTCTACTGGCTGAGCCAGCCGGGCTCCCCCCGCAACCCATGCCCTGCATATTATTCCCTCTTAATCAATTCTTAATTTTTTTATTGAACAACTACTGTGTGCAATATACTGATCTAACTCATGTTATATACACTGAAGGATATCTACTTATTTTGGTGAAAGCATATAAAGTAGGTTTTAACTCTAGTCTGCAAAATCAGAGTCAAAAGAGAGATTTATGTTTCTAAGATTAACCAAAATGCATTTACTCAAGCCTTTGTTACAAAAGGTAATGTTAATAGTATAAATTGATTGTGCTGACTTGTTGAAATTGTGAGTGGTCATTGGAGAAATGGCCGAGCAAGAATTTCTTACATTTGAATGTTTTTTGTTACTTACTTAGTAGAGGGAAGTGACAAGTTACCGAGGTTTCACTTCAGCTTTTTATTCACATGCTCATTAACGTGAAGAATAAATAAACCCACTGGAAATTTTAGCTTTCCTTATAATTATTCTAATCTTTGCCGCTAACAAATGACCAAGTGACAGCACCTAGTTTTGTGGTCTCCCCATGTCCTCTCTGACATCTTCATTGCTTTACTTTGGTGCCAATAAGAAACTGAGTAGCCCAAAATATCAAAAGCAAGAAAGCAAGCAGAGACATTTTCTAACCTGAGTGTCCAGGACAATGCCAGGCATGCAATGTACATTCCACAGTATGTTGAATATGGTGATATTGATTGAGGTGAGCCCTTTTTAGAGGTAGCAGTGGAAGAGTTATTTACCAACTCTACTGAGAACAATGCCTGACTCATAGTAGGAGTTCAGTAAATATTTATTGAATAAATGAATGGATCCTTTTTTCCCTTTTGTTTTAACATTTGCTTTTTTAAAGTAATGGGAGGGTAATTTTAACACCTTTCTGCCCCTTGGCAGTTGTAAACATTTTTGATAACTCTAGGCACCGTTTTTTTTTTCTAGACTTTATTTTTTAGAGCCATTTTAGTTTCACAGCAAAATTGAGTGGAAGGTACAGAGATTTCCCATATACCCCCGCCCACAAATATGCACAGTCT